TCAGAGTCACTTCATTTTGTTTTCCAAATAAAAGATGGCTGAATCTTCTGAGGATAAAAACAAAAAGAGGGAAGGATCATCTTTAATCATGCAGTGAGTTGATTCCAAAATGTAGAAAAAAGGTCAAGAGACTTGGTTGCAATCACTGCGTGTGCAACAGTGAATGGTGTAAGGAGACAACTGGGCTCTTTGTAAAGAGGTGATTTCCCCTGTACACATGCCCCCTCTCACAGAGAAATGGCTGTAGTTTCCAATCATGGCAAGGGCTGGGCTTTCTTCCACCAAGTGCTCTGCTAGCTGACAGAGACCAAGGAGCTGTGAAGATAGAAATGGGAGGGAAGGCTGGTAAAGGAGTTACTTAAGGCAACAGGATCGTAGTTTATAAACACAAGAATGTCCCACTGGGAAAGGTTAATGTCCAGAATTAGCCAACATGTTTTCATTCTTACTGCTCCAATTCTTTGGAAGTCAAAATTTTTCAGGCAGAAAAAAAAAAATGCCAAGGACTTCCAAATGTCTTTACACAACTTCCGCCAGAATTTCTTCAATGAAGAACTGTGTTGGGATTGGGCCCGGCGCGGTGGCGCAAGTGGTTAAAGGTCCTCGCCTTGCATGCCCGGAATCCCATATGGGCGCCGGTTCTAATCCCGGCAGCCCCGCTTCCCTTCCAGCTCCCTGCCTGTGGCCTGGGAAAGCAGTCGAGGACGGCCCAAAGCTTTGGGACCCTGCACCCGCGTGGGAGACCCAGAAGAGGCTCCTGGTTTCGGATCGGCATAGTATCGACCCGTTGCGCTCACTTGGGGAGTGAATCATCGGACGGAAGATCTTCCTCTCTGTCTCTTCTCTCTGTATATCCGCCTTTCCAATAAAAAAATAATAAAAATAAATCTTAAAAAAAAAAAAAAAAGAAAAAGAAACTTTAAAAAAAAAAAAAAAAGAACTGTGTTGGGGAAATGCAGAGTCCAGGATGAGTAACATCAGCTCTTGTGAAATGTACAGAAAAGCTCATGCTTCCCTCTAATGTCTAGCAGTCAAGGCCAAAAATGAAGTTAAGAAATACTTTCTTTTATTAATACAGCCTACAAATCCGCATGGCCTAAGGGAAGCTTAATTTTGAAATCAAATTTGCAGAGACGGGGCAGGAGAGCAGGAGTCAGATGTAACTCTTCAGAACTCTAGATTATTTAATGTCGCAAATGTAAATTTAAACTATGAAAACACACGTGGTATGTAAGTGAATGGAGCATGCTTGTTGGAGTAGTGGGACCTGAAAGGTCCAGTTTCAACATAGAGGACCGAATAAAATGTCAAAGGTCCTCCCCCCATGGTTATTCGGAACTGCTTCTGGGTCCTCCAAGAGAACTGCTCCCTGCTCAACCAATCACGGATTTGGAACAGAGCATCTACAGCAAGAATGCCAGAAAAGATTTCTCCAATACCCAAGAATATGCACCTCCAACCTCCGCACCTGCCTTCTCCACAGCAGCCAAGGAACACTGAGCAGCCACGACCGTCAGAGCTCTCAGAACAACACAGAGGGCGACAGAGGCACACACGGGTGTTAGGGCACGATGCAGATGTGTACAAGTGGAATCAGAAGCCAGTTCCAGCAGCGTGGGCATGTGATGGGCCATGCTACTCACTGTAAGAGGTGACACGGAAAGAACTAGTGCGTGGTACAAAGTGAACGCATTTGAATCTTAGGCCTTCTGTGTCCTCGAAATCACTGTAGTACAAATGTCCAACGTATTTAACGACTTTGTTTAAAGATGTTTTTCATAGATCCTTATTGGTGCTACACAAGGAAAGCATGGGGTGTGTCTGTAAAAACAATGCTATTTTCTGTTTCAGAGCATGAGAAATAAATGCCTGGGTCTGTCCCTGCTACCATGCCACATGCGCCTCATCACCCACGCCTTTCACTCCGAAGGGTGATTTGGCCCACCAAATTGCGCTGCTGCATTTCCTTTGTCCTGCCAGGTCTCAGGACTCAACTCCCAATGTTTCAATGTCCATATCTTTCTCTTAATTGTCCACAGCAGAAGAGCCAAGAGTTAAGAGAGTTATTCTTTATCTTTTCGCACATTAACTTGCATACGTCCAGTGAAACAGATCACTTTCAGGTTCATTAAAAACGTATCAGCTTATTCAAAATTCTAAACGAGGAATAACACTCTTAGCCCCACCTAAGATACAGAGATGCCACTGTGTGGAAGAGATTCAAAGGACTGCACCGGGCAGATGGTACAGTTGGCACTTGGGCTTCTGATTCGCCCACCACAGGTCAAGCTGACCAAGCATTCTCAGAGAATGGCAGAGCTTATGGGATGCTGAATCACGACTCTGCTCTCATCTCCTCATTTGACAGAGGAGGAAGCTAGGCCTGAGACAGAGCCATGCCTGCAAGCTGACGGAGACGAGTCTACAGTCTTAATTCTCCACCAGTTATTCCAACTCAAAATTAACCTTGGGAATGAGACTTCTGATTATTAGCAAATTAAACAATATTCCACCTGGTTTTAGTAATTGTGTTCTTCATAACAGATGCGAATTTGAATCCCCAGCCCAGGTGTATCGTTTGCCTAACTGCCAGCCAGACTCCACAATTCCCTCCAATGTCCATTGTGTACAATGTAGTTAGGAATCAGTTAATCTCATGGTCTGATCAAGGTACTTCTTGCAAGCTCTTAGTGAAATGCCACATTCTGATCTGCGTTGAACTAGAAAATTCTGAAATGTTGGAGCTGGTGTTGTGTTGTGGCACAGCAAGTAAGGCTATTGCCTTTGCAACTGGCAACCCATATAAGCACCAGTTCAAGTCCCAGCTGCTCCATTTCAGATTCAACTCCTTGCTAGCGCACCTCCAAAAGCAAAGGAAGATGACCCAAGGACTAGGGCTCCGGTATCCACAGGGGAGACCCAGGTGTACTCTTGGATCCTGGTTTTGACCTGGTCAAGCAAATGTAAGATATCTGTCTCTCTCTCTCCCCACTCCCTCCCTCCTTCTTTAACTCTGCCATCCAAATAATAAAGAATATATAAATCTTTTAAAAATAATAAAATTTTGAAGTGTTTGCGATGATAGAACTGCTCAATTCAGAAGGTAGGTCTGCAAATCACTGGAAAATCAATACAGAAAAAGTCTTTTTTTTTTTAAGTGAGTTTAAATTTGAAAATGTAGGCTACAACATATAGAACTCTAAATGATCACGATACACAGATTCCCTATTATAATACGATTCAAGTTGTATGATCTGGTCTATGTCCTACAATCTATGTAAGATTTGTAGAATCTTATACCTAACTTGTCTAAGGGGTTTGGAATGGTGGTGCTGCAAGCTAAGCCTCCTCCTACAGCACTGGTCTCCTATATGGACATCAGTTTGAGTTCCAGCTACTCCATTTCCAATCCAGTTCCCTGACTGCTGCCTGGGGAAGCAGCAGAAGATGGCCCGAGTCCTTGGGTTCCTGCACCTATGGGGGAGAGCCAGAAGAAGCTCCTGGCTCCTAGCTTTAGAACAGCTCAGCGCTGGCTGTTGCAGTCATTTGGGGAGTGAATCAGCAAATAAAAGAGTTCTCTCTCTTTTTCTTCTCTCTCTTTAACCTCGCCTTTCCAATAAAACTAAAGGAATTTTTAAAAAATAACTTGTTCAGCAATACCACAGCAACTCAGGACTTGTTTTCACCAGTTATCTTTAAAATAACGTATGTAAGAAGCAGCACAAACTACAATTTCGTTCGCCTTCCAAAGACATATAACAGAGAAGCAAGACAAATAGCCAAATAAACAAAAGCAGACATAAAGGCCAGTTAGGCAGAATGACCTCACAACCACTTCAGTAAAGAACACTAGCACATCTCATTTTCCTGTTCTCTTTCCATCTTAAAATTCACCTTAATGGCCAGCAGATTGAGGTGTGACTGTGAAATGATACTTGATTTTTCCAGAGTGAATTGTGGAATTAGGTACAAGTCTTATCTTACTCTTTTTCTTTAAGTAATGTTCTATAAAAATTATGAGCAAAACATCAAAGAATGAACTGGAACGGGTTTGATGAAAGAATCAAATAGTTCTCAGGAGAAATCTACTAGCTCAGCATCATGAAGTAACAACATAATAGAACACCAGCTCCGTAGACTCAGATTTGAGCCAGTGAATAATCCTTCTGAACCTGGACAGGTACAGACTAACATTCAGAACCCACCTGGGAAATCTGACTTTAAACATCTGAAAATTCAAAATAAATTCCTAATACTCAAGAATCTCTTAAGTTAAGGACACTGATTCCTGATGGAGGAAAGGCAACACTGTATTAAAGCCAAAATATTGTTCTTAACCTTGTTAGAGAACCGCTTAGGTCTTCAATTATAATGAACTTTGAGCTCATTTCAGAAACATAAACATCCCTATGGAGCAGTGAACCTGTATGCAGCTTCCTTCAGAAGAAGCTGGAATACTTTTACTCTATAATTCAGAGGAGTGTGTCAAGGTCTTTCTGAAATAGTCCATGGGCATTGCCAGGAAGGAAGTGCATCCCTGGATCAGCAGGAATGAGTCCTTTAGCTAGTGGCAATTCCCTAGGGAATGATTCCAACTTTCCCCGGCCCATGACAGGCACCTACCTAAAGCACTGTGTAAGCCTTCACCGTGTGCACATCCCTAAAGAAATAAACATTGCGGGGCATCCTAGCCAACAGAACTGCTCTTTAAACCTAGGAAAACTCTTGGCTACCATTTTTTTCTACATACACAAGCGAGGAGGTTTTCCGATGACTTGTGCCACAGAATGGCAGCGACTGAGCCCTAACCGGAACAGCTGCACAGTGACGGAGGGAGTGCGAGTGATCCTGCACGGGGAGCCACGGAAGCTGGCACAGAGAGACATAAAAGCGTCCCGTCTTTCCAGAACACAGCCCCATGCGCAGAGGTTAAGTGAGAAGCCAAGCGCTGTCTGGGTGCCCATCAGACTCGTGGAGGTCTGGCTCCACTCGTCACCAACCTGCCGTGGCCCTGCATGTCGCCCAGCTCCTTCTGCAGCCTGGCGTTCTTCTCCTCCTCTTCCAGGAGCCTTCTCTTCACAGTACGCAGCTCCTGCTGGGCCTCACACTTGATGTCATTGGCCACCACCACGGCGGTCTGCAGGTCTGCTTGGAACCGCCTCCATTCCTCAGTCTCCTCCTGCAAACACCAAGTCCACACCTGGGTTAGACATGTGCAATCGGGGTGCCCCAAGTGGCTTGTGGAGGAGGAAGGGGCAGCCGTGCTCAGCAGGACCCCTGCTCTCATGAGAACGGGCACAGGTGGGAACCCCACCTTTGTGTCACCAGAGTTCTCCATCTCAACACCACGTAACTGCTTTAGTTTTACTTGATGCCAACAAGGCTGTGTGATTCGAGGGCCATGTTATGCAAAGCAGACTAGACAGGAAATGGGGTCTTTTTCCCAGGCGTCCAACCCAGAAGTAGGAGAATTTAGAGTGAGATGATGGTGGCGAGGGTTCTCGCTCCACAGCTGTAACCCACATCTCACCTTAATCTGCTTTGTCAGCATCTTCAGCTGCCTTTCCAAGTCAGACTTCTGCTCCTCCAGCTTCATCACATTACCTAGAAATAAGGGATGGAGACAGGAGTTGGAGGAGCTGGGAGACTTCCTGTGAGAAGGTAAGCTGGGTAGCAGAGGGGCTACAAAAGGCTTGTGCATCCATCCCTTCCATCGAAACTTGATTTTTAGCACCTGCCAAAGTGGGAGGCAGAAGTAGCGAGTTCCTCCACGAAAGAGAACTGGATGAGGTGGAAAACAGGTGATGCTTTTCCAGTCTGTATAATCATGTGGCACTACGGAAAGGGCCTCAATAGCCACGCATACTCCCTCACACTCCCTCTGAAATCAAAGGCTTCATACAACATGTGACTGGTTATCACTCCCATGCCTTCTTTTTTTTTTATTTAATTTTATTTTTGATGGTACAGTTTCATAGGCTCTGGGATTCCCCCAAACCCTCCCCCCATGTTGGATTCCTCCACATTATTACAGTAGTACAGTTTATAACCAGTCATGATTCCTTCATTGCGGGCATGTACCATGCATAGAGTCTAGCGTCTTATTGACCAGATAAATTCAACAGTTTCATTGGGAGACCATCCCTGGTCTGAAAGTAGAGCCACAGAATGTCATCCCCTCCAATGTAAAGTTACAACACAACATCAACAACTCAAGCCTTCTTTTTAAAAATAAACACCTTGGGCCTAGTGCCATGGCCTAGTGACTGAAGTCCTCACGTTGAACGCACCAGGATCCCATATAGGTGCCGGTTCTAATCCTGGCAGCTCCACTTCCCATCCAGCTCCCTCCTTGTGGCCTGGGAAAGCAGTCAAGGACGGCCCAAAGCCTTGGGACCCTGCACCCATGTGGGAGACCCGGAAGAGGTTCCTGGTTCCTGGCTTCAGATTGGTGCAGCACCGGCTGCTGTGGTCACTTGGGGAGTGAATCATCGGATGGAAGATCTTCCTCTCTCTGTTTCTCCTCCTCTCTGTATGTCTGACTTTGTAATAAAAATAAATAAATCTTAAAAAAAAAAAAAGAAAAAGAAAGAAAACTAAACAAGAAGACAGAGTAACTACGTCTGACTGCGATCTGAGCCTCATGTTCTTGATGATTCAAGTTTTTCACCTCTTAGCTTTGCCCAAGAATAACCATGAAGATGCTGTGATCGCTCGGGGCTTACAAATAAATTCTGGTAGGCAAGTGAACTCATGCACATGAAAGCTGTGAATGATCAACTGTGCACGCCTGAGATCCTCTCAGGAGACTGAATAAGCCATTTTTGGATTGGCTAGTGTCATTCCGAGTTTTGCGCACTGATTCCTTTATTATAAAAGCAAAATGTGATTCTCTGGACAATTTGGGCAATATTTGATTAACCTCTTTTAAACTTTCCTTCCTCTTCTCTGTCTCTCTCCTCTTTGTATATCTGACTTTCCAATAAAAACAATATATATATATTAAAAAAAAAAAAAGGGGCCCAGTGCAATACTGGTAGTGGTTAAGGTCCTCACCTTGCACGCGCTGGGATTCTATATGGGCGCCGGTTTTAATTCTGGCGGTCCTGCTTCCCATCCAGCTCCCTGCTTGTGGCCTGGGAAGCAGTTGAGGACGGCCCAAAGCCTTGGGACCCTGCACCAGCAGGGGAAACCCGGAAGAGGCTCCTGGCTCCTGGCTTCGGATTGGCTTAGCTCCAGCCATTGCAGCCATTTGGGAAGTGAACCATTGGACAGAAGATCTTTCTCTGTCTCTCCTCCTCTCTGTATATCTGACTTTGCAATAAAAATAAATCTTTAAAAAAAAAAAAAGCCTTTCCTTCCCTGTTCAAAACAAACAATGACGAAAGAAAAAAGTTCCATACTGATGCCTCCTCAGTGAGTAAATGGCAATAGGAGTGAGTCCCTTGATACCCTACCATCGACAAGACACACACACACACACACACACACACACACACACACACCCCGGAAGTGTCTCCTCCACAAGAGCACACATCGTTTGTTCCACTCCGACCATCTCGCAACCGTCCGATCTGAAAGTCAGCACGCAGTCACTGCTTGAGGACCGCGGCAAGCAACGTGGCCTGAGGGAGCATCGAGTCCTTAGGAACCATCACAGTCACGGCCAAAAGGTGCTAATACAAAGTGGACTGGGGTGCCCTGAGAGCGAGCGAGCGAGACAGCAGCATAGCTCACACCCTGCGCACCTGACGCATCTAAAATGCATCAGGTCCTCCTCACAGGGACTCTACCCCATTGCCTTGTGGTCAACAACGTTTCCTTCTGTCATTCGTTATTTTACTGGATTTTAAAAAATGATAGCTTCTTAGAAGTGTTATTCTTCCTAGCCTGGGAGATTACAGAACACTGACTCTTGCTAACCTGCAGCCAACAATACATCTCCTTGGATCCTTCCACGATCGCCATGGACACCCTGGTCTCTTTGGTAACCTACTCGCTCCCACCTGCTCACCTCACCTGGCCTTGCCTTCACTTACTTTCTAGCTCACTGATGAGTTGATTGTTCTGTAACTTGACGGCCCGGTGCTGCTCCACCTGGTCCTCCAGTTCAAATATGGTCTCTTTCATGTCTTTTATCTCAGCGTCACTCTCTGATGCTTTCTCCTGCAGCTTCAGGCTGGTCCTGCTCAGCTGTTCGGCTTGACGGTCACATACTTCCTTCAGGTCGGAGTAATCCTTTTCCACCTGGAACAAAAGGAAGGAAGGGTCCCTGGTCAGTTGAACAAGAAAGTTCCAGTGAGAAAGGATGCTCTTGGCACGTGCTGCGTTGAGCACTGCTGGCCTCACCAACAGCTGAGGCTATGACTATTGAGGGAAGCATGGTGCATGTGTGCAAACGATGGGGTTTCGTGCCCCTCCTACAAGTAGAAAGGAAACTGCACACACTTAAAAGACCTTTCTTCCCTGTGTAGACGTTGTTTCCTTGGCACTGGGAGAGCTGCTGGACATGGCTGGCCTCAGCTCCCATCTGTTATGGAGCGGTGCCCTCTGCTGGTGAGTCAGGATATGACACTCCCGAAACCTGACCTCTGCACAAGCTCAGAGGCTCTGGAGGAAGGTGACTGTGCGCTGACCAGAAACACGAACGACATGGGCATCGCAAAGCTCCTCCCTTCAACCTTAACTATTGCACATTTTAAATCAACAGAAAGGCACAAAAAATCATCATTATCCAGGCAAACAGCTTTGATCGTTAAGCTGTACCACATCTGTTGAAGTGAAACCTTCAACCTTCCCTCCCAGCCTGAGTTTATCCTGAGCTTCATGCGGTTAGCTTGGTTTTTCACGTGTACCCTGAGCGTATGTGCTCATGGTAAGATACAGCACTGTGCTGGGTGCTTTGACACAGTGGTTTTCTACACCCTGCATCCGCCGTGCACTGCCTTACACTGCGTCGTCTGATACAGTGACATGCCTCTGTCCTGGACTCTGTTTTGTCATGTCCTTCACTTGTTATTAGCTCTATTTCTGAGACGTGTCTATATTAATAGCCTGTTACTTTAATCATTACATAATAACATTCTATCATCTGAATATACTGATTATTTTATTATTATACACAGCGTTGCAATAAACATCAATGCCTCTTTTCTATAATCCTTCAATAAATGTTACCAAAATAGTTATATGTTTGACAGGTAATCTTCCCAGATTTCTGGCGGTGGGGTGGGGGGCACGGAATCTCTTCACAAGTTCAATGTCATGTACAGAACTTTCTGACTATGAACACTACAAGAAGGGAGCTTGTCTGTTTCATTCAGCACCACATTCTAGCACTTGTGTCAGATCTACCTGATGAGTGAATGGATGGAAGTTATAGAGCCGTGGTTTTCAGCTAGCAGGAAGTTGTAATAAAAAGGAAAGAAGGAGGGGGTGGGGGAAGCAGACTGACCACCCGGAAACCAGAGTACGCTGCCTGTTAGGAAAAGCAACGCTATCTGAAACTTGTCTTTCTGGATAAAAGCATGCGGCGTTAGAATGCAATATAAAATGTAACGTGACAGGCCGTGGTCCAACAAGTTCGAGAGGTGTTTCAGTACATTAAAATGGCCCAGGATGCAAAACTCTGGAGTCAGGCTGCCAGAGTCTAAATCCAAATTGTATCCTATCAGTTCCATATTGCTTTAGTTCTGCCCTGGTTTCCGCATCTAAACAGTAGGAACAGTCCAATGGCAGAACACGCTGAAGAGCCTGTCACAGTGCCTGGCACACTGAGCAGTCAACAACAACCATTCTTGGGATCAGCACCTTGGCACAGTGTGTTAGGTCACTATCTGTGATGCCAGCATCCTATATGGGCACGGGCTGAAGTTTTGGCTGCTCCACTTCTGATCCAACTTCATGCTCATGGGCCTTGGAAGACAGCAGAGGAAGATGGAGGTGCTTAGATTCTTGCTGCCCATGTGGGAGATAAAGAATCACCTGAGGTTGCAGCACCCCAAGGAAGGTCCCGAAGAGGCCCCAACCTCCCCTTACGTCCTGGGTGCTGCCTTGTCATGCTCTCGGGGGGTCAGATGGTGCTTGGTGCACCACTGTGATGGGCGCGGACGCGGACTGCTGTGGTGGGAAAGCTACAAATGAGCGCGCTGTTGCAAATACATCAACTTCTTCCATCTTGGCTTTGGGATAATGAATTCTCTCAAGTTAGACACTATATACCAGATAAACAAAAACCCTTAAATAGATTCACCACTTCTCATGGTCCTGCTAGATGACACCTATTTATTTTTACATCCATTTTATGTATAATGAGAGAGAGAAAGAGAGAGAGACAATATCACCTGTAAAGATTAAGTCAGCATATCGAGTAACTGAGACCCAAACGTCACACTTCCATGACTGTCAGTTCTAGGATGGCTTTTTTCGTTCGTAAACTCTTGTGGGTTTAGTTTTAGCTCAGGAATTATACAGCCAGACCCCAAGGAAAATGATCTTCAATGTTTTCCTTGAAAGAGAAACCAGGGCCTGTGACAATGGCCTCTGACACGACAGCACCAGCTGAGTCCTGGCTACTCCCACTTCTGACCCAGCTCACCGCTGATACCCCTGGAAAGGCAGGAGATGGTGGCTCAAGTATTGGAGTCCCAGCTACCTGTGTGGCAAACCTCAATGGGGTTCCAGGATCCCAGCTCTGGCCTGGCCACTGTGGCCATGTGGACAATGAACCGTAAGATGGAAGAGGTCTCACTCTATCTATAATTCTGCCTTTCAAGTAAATAGAACACATCTTTAAAAAGGACAAATCGGCCCAGAGTGGTAGCTTAACAACTACATTCCTCACCTTGCATGTACCGGGATCCCACGTGGGCCCTGCTTCCCATCCAGCTCCCTGCCTGTGGCCTGGGAAAGCAGTCGAGGACAGTCCAAAGTCTTGGGACCCTAGACACACGTGGGAGACCTGGAAGAAGCTCCTGACTCCTGGCTTCGGATCAGCTCAACTCCGGCTATTGTGGCCACTTGGGGAGCGAATCATCGGACGGAGGATCTTCCTCTCTGTCTCTCCTCCTCTCTGTATATCTGACTTTCCAATATAAATAAATACATATTTTTAAAAGAAGAAGGAATCAGTTTCATGCATTCCAAGCAGCTCTTGCATTCAAGTAGTATCACAGATTCAAACAAATTTCCCAGGAACTACCGATACTTCCTGGAGGGGGCAGTGCAAGCCTTCCTGGATGCTCTGACGCTGCAGGGGGTGGACGGCAGCCGAGGCCACTGGGGAGTCCCCTGCCTCTGCGGCCCCCAGGACGTGGGGCACCTACCAGATGGAGAAGGGCCAGCATCTTCCCCGGTGTCACTACTTTTCCCTTGCTGTCAGACACTGGATTTAGTATAAAGATACCACCAGGGTCGGGTTCCCCGAGACACACTTCAACATGCCAGAAGTTACTGGGACAGGGAAGGAAGCAGGACCCGGCAGAAGCAGCCGTGTAGCTGCAAAGCTGTCACATGGAGACCTTGGCTATGTTCACAGGGAGCACTAGCTCAGATGGATAGGGGCCTGGGCCCTTTTTCCCCCATGGATCAGCCATGGCTGTGGCTACCTGGGTAGAAGCGTTCAGCAGAGGGCAAGTCCAGGAAGGGAGCTCCAGTGTGGCCAGGCAGGAGCTGCACTTCCCAGGGGGCAGCCTGGGCACACCCCGCCTGCTGCACATATCAGAGAGCATAATTTTATTCATAACTCACATTTTTCCAGGAATTTTTTAAGATCCATCATGTGCACAGGTTTCAAAAATACTCTTGACTGAAACTTTTTTAAAAAGATTTATTTTTATTATTTTTATTGGAAAGGCAGATATACAGAGAGGAAGATCTTCCGTCCGATGATTCATTCCCCAATATACATACAAACACCCACACACATAGAAGGTCCGGAATAAACTCCTAGCTTGATACCAGCCCAACTCCAGCCATTATGGCCACTGGGGAAAGAACTAGCAAGTGGAAGACCTCTCTCTCTCGTGTGTCTCCCTCAATTTCCCTGGGAGTCTACCTTCCAAACAGCAAATCTTTAAAATAAAATAAAGCTTAAGAACTTCTAATATCTAAACATCTTTCCTGCCCTTGTCTTCTCTCCTGCACCTCCCCCTCCCCAACCCAACCCTTCATTCTTTATCATCTATGGCCAAAGCAACCTTTCTGAACTGCAAGAAAGATTCGGAAACTCTTCTGTTTAAAAATTCTTGAGATCAAAAGCATAAAACACCAAATCCCAGAAAATCAATTAGATTAATCAAAACTTTAAACGTTTGTGTCTTAAATAACATTATCTGGACAGTGAAAACACAACCCAAAGAAAGAAAGGAATATATTTGCAAAGCATCTATCTGGGAACAGATTTATTTCCAGAATATCCTAAAGCTTACAAAACTCAGCAATGAAGCAAGGAACAAAATTTTAAAATGTGCAATGGATATAAATAGATTTCTTTCTAAAAAAGAGACACAAATGGCACATAAGCACATGAAAACACTCAGCATCATTAGTCATTTTCTGCGATGACTAACAGCATCATTGGGAAAATGCAAATTGCCAGGACCGCACTTCACTAGGGATGGCTCAAGAAAGAATGACAAAAAGGCCTCGTGACAAGGACCTGGAGAAGCTGGAAGCCTCCTACACTGCATTCAGTCTGGTCCAACCCTAGTCGCTGCAGCCACTGAGGGAGTGAGCCAGCACGTGGAAGACAGTTCTTTCTTGGTCATTTCCACATTCACCTGGCTAACTACCTCTTACCTTCCTCTAAGATCCAGGTTGGAAAGCTCCCAAAATCACATTTTTTGATGATTCGGGCTTCCACTGTGAATGTCCTCATTTCACTATATTCACTTAAAGTTCTTCTAATTCAACAGGCTTTCAGTATTACTTTCTTCAAACCAGAAGCTTTTGGCCTTTAGACTACAGCAAACGTACATGTTTTTCCCTCTCCTCTTTTGCTTTCAGATAATTTGGAAGCAGTGCTAAACAATATCTTAAAAGTATTTTTAAAAAGACTTTTTTAAAAATCTGTTTCTATTGGAAAGGCAGATTTACAGAGAGAAGGAAAGACAAAGAGAAAAAAAAATCTATCCACTGGCTCACTCCCTAGATGACTGCAAAGGCCAGAGCTGAGCTGAGCTGCTCTGAAGCCAGGAGCCAGCACCTTGTTCTTAGTCTCCCACATGGATGCAGGGTCCCAAGGCTTT